CTCTCCCTTCCCCTTGCAATAATTGTTTTGAATAAAGAATCTTCTAAGTCGCGTTGTTTTCTTACATGGCAGTCAGTCTTTGATTAGAATCCTGGCCCCAAAGCTTTTTAACTTTCAGCAAGCCACTTAACTGTTTCTAGCCTGTGTTCTTTTATATGTAAGGTAATATAACTTCTGTTTCAGGATCTTTGTGGCATTAGAGATGTGAAACCCTGAAAACATGGTAGATAATCAGTAGTAGCCATTACTCTTGTTATGAGTCTACAGAACTACACCACTTTATGAATGGCTTTTAAGTTTATATAACACCTGTCCAATGCTTGGCACAGGGTATATGTTCAATAAATAATTAACAACGAATAGTTTTCCCATTGACAACAGGAAGCTATGAGAATAATGCCTAGTTTAGAAAGGTTAGTCACTGCCTCCTTTCATGGGCTTTTCCTATTAAAATTCTCAGCTCCTGTCTCCGTATTTGCCTCTCTAATGGTCTCTGGGATGCATCTGATGCTGCGCTTCCTGGAAAATGGAAATAATAATTCCTTTCATCCTCTGAAATCAAGAAAGAACGTGGAGCACTTCTTTGAAGGACATGCATTCCCACAAACGGTAAGGGGAAGTCGTTAGAAGGGCTCTCACCAGGTGCCTCGCCCACTTCCTGATGCCCCGCCTTCTCCGCAGCTCAAGTTCCTCCCACTTAGCCCGGTGCTAGGGGCTCCTTTACCAGGTAGGCCCGCGGCTCCGTGTGCGCACGCGCACTATCAAACCCCGCAGGCGAGGGTGGGGCCACGCTGCGTCATCGGGGCGCGCTCTACGGACGAAGCTGTGGTTGCCGGAAGTTGAACGGCGGTAAGTGAGCCGCGAGGGCGAGGGAATAGTGGGGTCCTACGGACTCGGTTTTGGAGGCCTTGCGGGAAAGGGCGAGCCAGGCGGTGAGGGTGCGGGTCACAGCAGGTCTCGGAATCCTCCCTTCGCCGGGAAGTCACTGACTGCGGCTTTTGGCCGCCTTCTCCGGACAGGTCCCTTCAGACAGGCTCAGCCCGCGGTCTAGGAAGCTCCTAATTTCCTAAGTCAGTAACTGCTGTCCTCTGGCAGGGAGTGCTCAGAATCTCCGGTGTTGAAACACGGGAGATAGGACGCCAGGATTCTCGTCGTGTCTTTGCCCGTTTTTGCTGTGTGACTGTAGCACGTCACTACCCTTTCTGAGCCTCTTCCCTCATCAGTAAAATAGGAGTGATGATAACGTCATTTGTGAAGCAAGGTTAAGTCAATTCTGAGGGCTTTTCTGAGCTAAGGTTCTTGATTCCTAAGTTTGGTCCAGGGGTTGCAAACTTTAATGCTTGATCAGGCAGTAAATGTAGGTGTAAGAAAATTACGTTAGAAATAAAGTCAAACATTTCGACTGTATTGAGTTTTATGAGCAGCACAATACTAACATATGATAACTGGAGAAGTGAACCCCAAACTCCTGTGTTTGTGCACACGCACGCGTGCAGTCTCTTGATATTTTAAACACTGGCTACCAATACAATTAAAAAAACATTGGTAACTAATTTAAAAAGAAATCTCTGTGCAACTGAACCCTAGGCATATTTGTGGCTGCCAGTTTGACATTTTCGGGTCCTAGGCTCACTTTACGAATGAATACTTGGATTTCTTTCATGACACTCCTCCCCCTGGTTAAATGTTTTAGGTGACAGAAAGCTCATTACTTCTGGTTACTCCTGTTTGGTCTTCCCACAGGTCTGACTTAAAATGTTATATGAAGGAAACAAGCAGTTAAAAAACAAAATTCAACCAAGTGAGTTTGAAGATCTAATTGGTTTTATTAAGCAATTCGTGAATTGGGCAGCATCCCACTGACAAGTAGAGAAATGCTCCAAGGAGTTGTACCAAATGGAAGGTTTTTATAAGAAAGAAGGTGGGCAAGAAGTTCTAGCAAAAGAGAAGAAAGGATTGTTTTAGGCAAGATCACCCTCCCTTAAGAGGAGGAGCAGAAGTTGTCATCCTGCAGATGAACTCATCTTTTGTGGGGGATGGCGAGGGCCCATGTGACAGATTACCTTATTGGTGCTGACCAGAAAATTCCTGACTGTTAAAGGTCACATTCCTGGTAATTAAGTCTTGGTCTGGGGGGCTGATGACTCCATTTAGGCCTGTTCCATTTTTTTTAAACAAAACTTGTGAAGGACAAACTTCAACCCAGGTTCATACATGCTTAATAGAGGTGGGTGGGTGTCAGTCATGCCTTCACATAGGAGTTGACATCCCTACAGGGTTTTTTAAAAATCAAGTTTGTTATATTAAATATGTACAGTAAAAGTGCACCCATGTAAAGTGTGGAGCTTAATGAGTTTTGACAAATGTACACACCCATGCCATCCCCATCTCAGTCAAGATATAGAACATTTCCGTTACTCCAAAAGTGCCTCATGCCTTTTTGCAGGCAATGCCCTCCTCAATGTCCTGGGAAATCACTGATCTGACTTCTGTTACTATGAGTTAGTTTTGCTGACTCTGGGTCTTTACACACTGGGATCATATAATATGTACTTTTTTTCTATCACCATTTTGTCTAATATTCACCCACATTTCAACTGGGTTTTGAAGGCAGAGAAAGGGTTATACAAACAGGAAGTATGAGAGTACTGCAGAGACAGATATAAAAGAGCAGAATGTGCTTAAAACACCAGAATTAGTTTGTGTGACTCCAGTATGCAGTTTGAGGGGGACAGAGGCAGGAGAGGAGCCTGATATAGAGGAAAGTGTTGAGTTTTACCTGAGCCCTGCACTCTTGAAAAGCAGCAATGGTTAAGAAATCTCTGCCTCTCGCTCTTTTGAGCTCAAGAAACGGTTTAATGCAAAGAAACACCTATTCCCATGTGGCTTAGATAAGACTCATGGATAATCTCTCCCGTGTACCCGTAGCAAATCTTCTGAGTTCCCATTCTTCGGCTTATAAAAGTTTAGCTGAACTACTTGTCTCTACTGATCAGAAACTCCAAAAAGGTATTATTTACAGGGTTTTGTTAACCAACTCTACTTAAGCTTGTCATTCCCCCAGGCTCCTTAATTTTGACCCATCCTAGGCCTGAGCCAGCAAAACACCCCTCCAAAGAATAGGCCCGTCTCAAGGTAAAGCATTTTCTGATCTACTATCTTATCAAGCCACCCTTTCTTTCCACTTTCCCATACCCAATTATTTCTAGCTTTCTTCACTCTTCCCTATGAATGAAAAACTCTTCTTGCCTAACTCTTGAGGCATTTGCAGATCTTTTGGTCAGAGTTATCTGCCTGTTGCAATAGTCCTTCCTCTCTCCCTTCCCCTTGCAATAATTGTTTTGAATAAAGAATCTTCTAAGTCGCGTTGTTTTCTTACATGGCAGTCAGTCTTTGATTAGAATCCTGGCCCCAAAGCTTTTTAACTTTCAGCAAGCCACTTAACTGTTTCTAGCCTGTGTTCTTTTATATGTAAGGTAATATAACTTCTGTTTCAGGATCTTTGTGGCATTAGAGATGTGAAACCCTGAAAACATGGTAGATAATCAGTAGTAGCCATTACTCTTGTTATGAGTCTACAGAACTACACCACTTTATGAATGGCTTTTAAGTTTATATAACACCTGTCCAATGCTTGGCACAGGGTATATGTTCAATAAATAATTAACAACGAATAGTTTTCCCATTGACAACAGGAAGCTATGAGAATAATGCCTAGTTTAGAAAGGTTAGTCACTGCCTCCTTTCATGGGCTTTTCCTATTAAAATTCTCAGCTCCTGTCTCCGTATTTGCCTCTCTAATGGTCTCTGGGATGCATCTGATGCTGCGCTTCCTGGAAAATGGAAATAATAATTCCTTTCATCCTCTGAAATCAAGAAAGAACGTGGAGCACTTCTTTGAAGGACATGCATTCCCACAAACGGTAAGGGGAAGTCGTTAGAAGGGCTCTCACCAGGTGCCTCGCCCACTTCCTGATGCCCCGCCTTCTCCGCAGCTCAAGTTCCTCCCACTTAGCCCGGTGCTAGGGGCTCCTTTACCAGGTAGGCCCGCGGCTCCGTGTGCGCACGCGCACTATCAAACCCCGCAGGCGAGGGTGGGGCCACGCTGCGTCATCGGGGCGCGCTCTACGGACGAAGCTGTGGTTGCCGGAAGTTGAACGGCGGTAAGTGAGCCGCGAGGGCGAGGGAATAGTGGGGTCCTACGGACTCGGTTTTGGAGGCCTTGCGGGAAAGGGCGAGCCAGGCGGTGAGGGTGCGGGTCACAGCAGGTCTCGGAATCCTCCCTTCGCCGGGAAGTCACTGACTGCGGCTTTTGGCCGCCTTCTCCGGACAGGTTCCTTCAGACTGGCTCAGCCCGCGGTCTAGGAAGCTCCTAATTTCCTAAGTCAGTAACTGCTGTCCTCTGGCAGGGAGTGCTCAGAATCTCCGGTGTTGAAACACGGGAGATAGGACGCCAGGATTCTCGTCGTGTCTTTGCCCGTTTTTGCTGTGTGACTGTAGCACGTCACTACCCTTTCTGAGCCTCTTCCCTCATCAGTAAAATAGGAGTGATGATAACGTCATTTGTGAAGCAAGGTTAAGTCAATTCTGAGGGCTTTTCTGAGCTAAGGTTCTTGATTCCTAAGTTTGGTCCAGGGGTTGCAAACTTTAATGCTTGATCAGGCAGTAAATGTAGGTGTAAGAAAATTACGTTAGAAATAAAGTCAAACATTTCGACTGTATTGAGTTTTATGAGCAGCACAATACTAACATATGATAACTGGAGAAGTGAACCCCAAACTCCTGTGTTTGTGCACACGCACGCGTGCAGTCTCTTGATATTTTAAACACTGGCTACCAATACAATTAAAAAAACATTGGTAACTAATTTAAAAAGAAATCTCTGTGCAACTGAACCCTAGGCATATTTGTGGCTGCCAGTTTGACATTTTCGGGTCCTAGGCTCACTTTACGAATGAATACTTGGATTTCTTTCATGACACTCCTCCCCCTGGTTAAATGTTTTAGGTGACAGAAAGCTCATTACTTCTGGTTACTCCTGTTTGGTCTTCCCACAGGTCTGACTTAAAATGTTATATGTTGAGCCAAAAGCCGTTAGGCAGTGATCTCAGCTCATTGTCCCTCCTTCAGACTCTTGGGATCTCCCTCCGTTTTATTGCCCACACATCTTTGAAAGCTATTAGTGTGTCTTGCACTTTTACCTTTTCTTCTCCAGGCTAAGCACATTTACTTATTTATCCATAGTAAACTGCACAACAACCAAGAATTTTCTGTGCCAGGTATTATCGTCAGCATTGGTGATATAGCAGTAAAAATTAAGATGACAAGAACCCTGTTTTGTGAAGCCCACTTTTGATCCTGGTGATGAGTCATAATATTGTCAGTACAGTACTTTCAATAGGTAGTAGGTGTTGCGGATCCTGATAGATGCTTTAAAAAAAGAAACAGTAATGGGATGAAGAGTAATGGCAGGGAAGCAGAGGGAACTATTTTTAAAACTATCTGGTCAGGGATGACTTCTCTGAGGAGGTAACATTTGAGCTGACACCTGAGTGAAGAAAAAGGCCAGACTTGTGATGGCTCATCTTGCCTATGTCCCCATCCCATGACCTCTGCTCTAGTTTTGTTAAACTGCTTACAGGTTGTGTCTCACTTGTAGCCCTTTGCTCCTGCTGTTTCTGTTGCCTAGAACATCTCCCCTTCCTTCTCTGTTTTTCTTAGCCAACTTCTCCCTGTGCCTCATGTGACATGATTTTGAAACTTTAAGAAGTTAAGCACTGGGCTCTCATTCAACCGCAGGATCCTTTTTCTGTTCCTCACCAGCCTCTCAGAGAATAAACATAAATATGTATTGAACTTCTGCTATGTGCCTACAGTGCTCTGCAAGCTGGAAATACCAAAATGAGTAACATGCACACCCCTGCCCTCAAGGCATTAATTTTTTTTTTTAAGCCAAGGAGATAGACAGCAGTGCTATGGTATGAAGCTACTGTAGAAGTTTGATGGAGGAGGACTTAGAATGCTCACAGTTGGGCTGCGGTATCAGAAAAGGCTTCTGTGAGGATGTACTGCTTTATCCAAGCCCTAGGCTTACTCAGGTGAAGAGGGGTGGGAGGTGGGATGATATTGCAGACATAGGGAGTGGCTGGGCAAAGGGCTGCAAGTGACAATGCATGACCCATAAGCAGCTCACCTGAATCGGAGTGTAGGGTTGTAGGATGAGAGGTGACTGGGAAGGTAGGTAAGCAGGAGGTGGAGGATGACGGGCCTTGTAGGCAATAGCATAGTAAGAGTGGAGACTTGGGAAGCTAAAATACTTGTGTATCCATACTGGCTTTGCCTCTGAATGAGTTTTGTGACTTTGGGCAAGTCACTCCCTTTCTAAGCTTCAGTTTCCTCATCTGTGAAGAGGGAAAGTAGAAACCTGCCTCCTAGAGTTGCTGTGAGAACTGAATAAGATGATAAATGTTACCCATTGGCACTGGTAGATGGTAAGCAATAAACTGTAGCAGTTAATACTGCCATGCTAAGATGTCTGGAAGATTATTTTGAAGATGTGGTGGAAAGAGGAGTACTGGAGGGTTGTAAATAGGACTGTGGCGTGTGCTCATTCGCTGTAAGTTACCCAGGCAGCACTGTGGTGATTACATCGAACAGGGCCGGACCAGCAGGGAGACCGGCTAGGGCTCTGTGACCCTGATCCAGGGCCCAGGAGGAGGGAGGCCAGAACTAAGACTGTGGCTTTGGGGAGAGAGAGGAGTGGGTGGATTTGTGGGATTTGCTAGGCTGGTAGCTGATTGGATGACACCACATGGGGAGAGAAGGGAGACAGGAACAAGGATGTTGGAGTGGGGTAAGGGGAATGAATCCTCTGTGCGTAATAAGTAATAACAATGTTAATTAGTAGCCCCTGATTGGTTATCCCTGACCTCTTCTGAGATTTTATTTGGAAATCCAAATGGCACCTGTTCTCCAGTGTTAGCCATGGAGATGAAGTTCATGAATGCCTTCCTCCTTTCCTTTTTCTATCTCCTGATCCTCCTGCCATTCTACAGTGTGAGGCCCTATTGTGTATTAAGGGGGAATAAATAGGTGCTGCTTTGCTACCATGGTCTCGGCAAACTGGGTGCTCACCTGTTTGCTTGGTCTCAGTCCAGCCCCAGAGTGATCACCTGTGGGATTTCCTATACCTTCATTCTGATGACCCTCCTTTGAACTTGTTTCTCTTTGACAGTCTCTCTCTCTCAGTGTGTGGTGTGGAAAGGAAGCCCTCCTTCCTCTAGGAGACCATGCAGAGTATGACTGTACTTTTCTTTCAGTAACCTAATGCCCCACCCGGCTTCCTCGTGGACACACGTTGACGCCGTCACATTGTGGGCCCTCGGCGCTGCCGGGTGCTCCCTGGTGTGTTTGGACAGCTCTCTGGCTCATCTCCTTGTCCTTCACACTTTGGTCCCTCTCCCAGCCTCTAAACCTTGTCTTTGACTTCATTAAGTTGGAGCCATCAATTAAGATTTCTCAGTTTCTATCATTTACAGACTTATCTCTAGGTGACCCTATCACTTTGCCTTTTATTCTAATTCTGTGAAAGAAAGGTGTTCATTTTAAGGCTGCTTTCTTCACCGGTGCTGAGATTCCATCTCCTTTTCCTGAGGACCAGGTTCCAGCATTTGTTCCGTTTCTTTCATATTTAATTATCTCTTCTCATTTAAGTATTCTCCACTTAAGTCTTATTTTGGAAAAAACAAATACCTTCCCATTAACCTCTGTCATCACACCTCCTCTTCCCTAAGTTGCTACATCTATTCCTTGAAGTCATCATCCACTGATACCCTGTTTCTGCCTCCCCCTCTTCCAAAACTGCTCTCCCCAGGCATCCGATGTTGCCATTGCCAGAACATCTGAACACTTTTCTCCTAATCTTTTGGATTCTGAAAAGGTGTGATGTTGCTGATATTCCTTCACTTACAGAAGCCACTCCTGCTTTGTACTGTCTCTCTGGCCATTTCCCCCTCAGATTCCAATATGGGCTCTTTCCCTCCTTTTGTCGTTAGGTGCTTGTTTCCTCCAGGCTCTGCCTTCTACTCTTTGCTCTTAACTCACAGCTTCAACTCCCACTTATGTGCTAATGAGCCCTACTGTGCATGTGTCTTGAGCCCAGGCTGCTCCTGAATGCCAGCCTCAGACTCAGTGAGTCCAAACCTAAGCTCGTACTCTTCCCTCCAAACCCTCAATTCTTTCTCTGTTCTTTAGACCCACTCATTCCCTTTCTCCCCATTAGTCATTCAAAGCTGAGCTCTAGGAGTCACCCTGACATTTCCGTCTCACACTATCCCCTCTTCTCTCCCTCCCAGCCCAGGCAGTCCTCAAAGATCTGCCAATTCTACTTCCTTGATAGCTCCTGACACATTTTCTCCTCCATTTCCTCTTCCACTGCCTTAGGGCAGTCTCTTCTCATTTCCTGCCTGCCTTATGGCACAGCCTCTGAGCTCCTCGCTGCCCCAGCAGTCTGGCCCTCACCAGCCGTTTCTGAAATACAGCTGTTTGAGAGAATGTAAGTTCCTGCTTATTTGGTCCAGTCTAGGCAATCCCATGGGCCTCGTCTCATAACACCCTGAACAACACTCACCACGCTGTACTGTACTTATTTTACCCACAAATTGCTAGACTGTCATTTCTGGTCTGTCTAACCCTCAAATTGTTAGAATCCTAAAAGCAGGGGACCTTAGCGTTTTGCTGTTGAATCCTGAAATACAGCACAGGGACTGGTATATAATATAAATGTTTAATGAAGCAGCAACTGAATGGGAACCCCAGTGTCTCTGACACATGTTTTATTAATAATACTAGTTCTACTTTTGAGTGCCTCCTGTGTCAGATACATATATTTCTTAATTGAATCATTACAATAGTTCTGTATGGCAAGTGGTATCCCATCTTATAAATGGGGAAACAGGTTCAGAGAAATTAAATAACTTGCCCAAGGTTGTGTGGCTAGAAGTTGCAGAGGTGGGCTTGAACTCGGGTCTCTCTGGCTCGTGACATTATGCCTTTCTGTCTTATCATACTGCCTCTGTGGTACAAGGCTACATTGCTGTCCAGTTGTTTTCTTGGACTGATATTGAAGACTTGGAAATTTTAATTTTGTTAAAATAGGACTGCC